CCTGTAGGAGCAGCGGTGCACCTGGAGCTTCCCCACCTGGAGTCACTCTCTTAAGGCCACACACCACACCTGTCCGGGGCTGCCAGCCTGTGTGTGGCTGTTATGCCAAATAGTGGTGACAATGACTTAAAGACAGTCCTTATGGTCCTTATAGCTTTTATTTGGTTTGTCTCTTTTTATTTGTCACTTTGAGGTTTTGTTTTTGTGACACTTTGTCTTATTTGAGACAACAGTCAGTTTAGTGTTTAGTGTAGCTTTTCTCTTGGTAACGTTGAGTTACCCCATTATGTCCTGTAGGTCAGAGGTGTCCAAACCGGTCCAGAAAGGGCCACTGTGGCTGCAGGTTGTCTATCAGACCCAACAGGAGCCGAGCAGACTCCGCCCATTTCCTCAAATCTTCAGGTTAAGACTGAACTCTCGAGGAAATGGTTGGAGTCTGCTCTCCTCCTGTTGGGTCTGATAGACCGGTTTGGACACACCTGCTGTAGTGTGTGCTTTGATTTTTGTCTACTTATCATTTACATTTCTTTTATTAAATACTTGCTTTATCATTTTAACATCTCTCCATCATGATTGTAATCCACGCACAAATGGTCAAACGTGAAAGAAAGCCATGGTTTTGTGACCGAACCATTTAGTGTGAGGGCAGTGCTTAGACCTCCACCAAAGTCCACTGTGCTAAAGTCCAACCATCAAACTCTCAGATTCTGACCCGCGCTGGTATTTACCCTGGTTTACTCAGCATCAATGGCCCTCAGTCTCCATTTCACTGCACAAGAGCCCTTAATGTAGAGCCACGCAGCGTTGTTGGTGCTTGAATGAGGTTAACGTCATGAGAGAGGAGCGTAGACTGTGTGTAGATGAACACGGCTCAACCCAATGAATCCCAATGGAGAAGTGCTCATGGGAGGAGTTTTGCTTCGACTCGCTCTGACTTCTATTGACTTACACTGACTCCTCCTCTACACTGACTCCTCCTTCTTTACACCGACTCCTCCTTCTCCTCCTCTACACCGACTCCTCCTCCTCTACACTGACTCCTCCTTCTTTACACTGACTCCTCCTCTACACTGACTCCTCCCTCTTTACACTGACCCCTCCTCTTCTACACTGACTCCTCCCTCTTTACACTGACGCCTCCTCCTCTACACCGACTCCTCCTTCTTTACACTGACTCCTCCTCCTCTACACTGACTCCTCCCTCTTTATACTGACCCCTCCTCTTTTACCCTGACTCCTCCCTCTACACACCTCAACATCAGCCTCAGCTTCAATAACTCATCATCACTTCCTGGCTACATTTAATCCGTGCCCCTCAGTTCTGTACAACTCAAGCTGTTGTTCGAGCAGCAACCCTCCTCCTCCCCATCACCGCCTCTTCAGTAGAATATCATGTCATGGGTTCGGCTCAGCTTCTTTGGCACCAGGGTCTAGGCCCCGGGGGGTTTGCAAGCACTTGTATTAAACTCCCTTCTGCAGACCTCATGCAGTTTTCCTGCCAGGCTCTAATCGGCAATATATGCAATTACTGTATATATTCTTACGTAATAAATATATTAGTAACTAATGCAATCCTTGTCTCGAGTCTTTTCAGAATCCTTTTTTACTGCCATGTGAGTAAGAGGAAGTCAGGAACGAGGAAATGTCTTTGGCTCTCGTGCAAACAAGTTAAACCAGAATAAAAACAAGAAGGCATGCGTACATAGAAATCACGCACACTTCTTCAGTTTACTATGTACAAGTGAACTTGTTACGGCCTTGGGCCTGTAGGAGCAGCGGTGCACCTGGAGCTTCCCCACCTGGAGTCACTCTCTTAAGGCCACACACCACACCTGTCCGGGGCTGCCAGCCTGTGTGTTGCTGGTATGCCAAATAGTCCTCATGATGTCTGAACTTATTTTTCCATTTACATTCAGCTATTTATTAATTGAGTTGGGACAATGCACATTTATCAACACTGATGCTTTGAGCGTCAGTGTAAATGCGCCAGACTTAGCAAAACTTCTAACTGCTAACTTTCAGCAGTAGTCCCAAGCGAAGTTAGCTAACATACGCACACACAAAAGAATTAAAAACCTCACTCGACAATGAATAAATACCAAACAGAACTCAGAGAACTATCTGAGCTCAGTCCAATCCTCTGCTCAGTGGTTTTAGCGCTCTCTTTGATGCAAGAGTTTGTGCCGCGACGAACGGCAACCAATGAGAGAGCAGCAAAGTGGTCACATGGACAAAAGGTCAGAGCAAGAAGAGGAAGACATATACAAACAGGCCAAACAAGAGCTTGAGTAGGACTTAACCAGGACTAACTAAGGACTAAACCAGGACTAACCAAGGACTTCACCAGGACTAACCAAGGACTTCACCAGGACTAAACCAGGACATCACCAGGACTAAACCAGGACTTCACCAGGACTAAACCCAGACTTAACCAGGACTAAACCAGGACTTCATAGGAATATATTAGTAACTAATGCAATCCTTGTCTCGAGTCTTTTCAGAATCCTTTTTTATTGCCATGTGAGTAAGAAGAAGTCAGGAACGAGGAAATGTCTTTGGCTCTCGTGCAAACAAGTTAAACCAGAATAAAAACACGAAGGCAAGCGTACAGTACATAATAATCACGCACACTTCTTCAGTTTACTATGTACAAGTGAACTTGTTACAGCCTTGGGCCTGTAGGAGCAGCGGTGCACCTGGAGCTTCCCCACCTGGAGTCACTCTCTTAAGGCCACACACCACACCTGTCCGGGGCTGCCAGCCTGTGTGTGGCTGTTATGCCAAATAGTGGTGACAATGACTTAAAGACAGTCCTTATGGTCCTTATAGCTTTTATTTGGTTTGTCTCTTTTTATTTGTCACTTTGAGGTTTTGTTTTTGTGACACTTTGTCTTATTTGAGACAACAGTCAGTTTAGTGTTTAGTGTAGCTTTTCTCTTGGTAACGTTGAGTTACCCCATTATGTCCTGTAGGTCAGAGGTGTCCAAACCGGTCCAGAAAGGGCCACTGTGGCTGCAGGTTGTCTATCAGACCCAACAGGAGCCGAGCAGACTCCGCCCATTTCCTCAAATCTTCAGGTTAAGACTGAACTCTCTTGAGGAAATGGTTGGAGTCTGCTCTCCTCCTGTTGGGTCTGATAGACCGGTTTGGACACACCTGCTGTAGTGTGTGCTTTGATTTTTGTCTACTTATCATTTACATTTCTTTGATTAAATACTTGCTTTATCATTTTAACATCTCTCCATCATGATTGTAATCCACGCACAAATGGTCAAACGTGAAAGAAAGCCATGGTTTTGTGACCGAACCATTTAGTGTGAGGGCAGTGCTTAGACCTCCACCAAAGTCCACTGTGCTAAAGTCCAACCATCAAACTCTCAGATTCTGACCCGCGCTGGTATTTACCCTGGTTTACTCAGCATCAATGGCCCTCAGTCTCCATTTCACTGCACAAGAGCCCTTAATGTAGAGCCACGCAGCGTTGTTGGTGCTTGAATGAAGTTAACGTCATGAGAGAGGAGCGTAGACTGTGTGTAGATGAACACGGCTCAACCCAATGAATCCCAATGGAGAAGTGCTCATGGGAGGAGATTTGCTTCGACTCGCTCTGACTTCTATTGACTTACACTGACTCCTCCCCCTCTACACTGACTCCTCCCTCTTTATACTGACTCCTCCTCTACACTGACTCCTCCCTCTACACACCTCAACATCAGCCTCAGCTTCCACCAGGACCTAAACCAGGACTAAACCAGGACTAAAGAAGGACTTCAACAGGACTAAACCAGGACTAAACCA